CAAGAAACCCTTACTTAATGGTATTCGCAAACGACAACCTACCTGGGCTTTTAAACCACAGGATGAACTTAACATAGAATTTTTTTTATTTTACACTTTATTCATGCATTTGTTTCCATTTCTTGCCTCAAGGCGCTGATTTATTTTAATTTGGAGATATTTAAAGATTATCTGGCATGGTTTGGGGTTCATTCAAGATTTATTTCGAGTTTTATTACTTATCGCATCCCAGGAGAATACCGTAAGACTGGACTGCGCGCAGGACATGCTAGATTGTCCCCAGTTGGATTAATTTGGTTCTGTCTAGATGATGCATTTAGGGGGAAGACGGAGTAAAGGAGCCTCACTCATCCAAAGTATAGTTAAAACGGTAGTCGGATAAATTGCGCACCTAGACGGCACGTTGTTTGCGTATATGAACTCCATAATTCTATGGTAAGTTGTGGTTAAGTTGTTTCTGGTCTTTACGAAATAAGGAGTATCGAACTTCGTAGGTTTATGGTCGCATACAGTCGTCAAACCAGTGTAGAAAATCCTATGGCCAACATCTACCGAACATTCAATTTCCAGAAAGTCCGTTTTATCTCTTTTCCCACCGGCGCCGTTAGTTTAATTACACTTGTGTTGGAGTGCCCGCCCAACCTACTGATTCACTAAACTGACTGCCCATGCACGGTTTCCTAAGCAACCGACGTAGGATTTTGGAGGGCTTCGTCAATTTAATTGCCCAATTGGGAAAATCCGGCTGCCCGTTTGCTTTACGTTGAAGTCTCCCCCCATTTCTGCTTCTCATACGAATTTTAAGCTACCAATTCTATTGATTAGCCCAGGTGGCAGCATACCATAGCCCTACTATATTTCCATTTGTTTTCTCTGCACGTCTTCTATTTGTTGTATCCTCTTATCCGTTATAAATTTTGTACAGGGACAGGTTATAACGAATGGACATCTTGAAATTCGTTTGCTCTAATAAGTTCTGCATTATTTGGATGCTTTGCATACAACACCATTCGCATACAGGAAAGATAAATTACTTAAAGAGTCGACCGAGCCATCTTTTTTACCTCCGTATGTACTGAATCTCAAAAACATACCTGGGCTTTGGTCGTCTGCCTCTGCCCCATGACTGGCTTAATTCAGGTGTACGGGCTTCTCTCAATACTAATTTTAAGCAAACGTAGTTGCAATCAGCGAAAACTCCACAGTATCTATTATTGAATCACCATTTTAGAAGGCGAGGCGTAAATTCGATGTTTCCCTGGCTTCCTAAATGTATTTAGGACACTGGGCGTAGAGTACAGGTACCCGATCGTCAGGACAGAAATGCTAGCGACCATCGTTGTCTTCTAAAAGCTCAATTTCTTTTGAGATTCTTGTTTTGAATAGCTCAGACGTTACAAAAACAATCATTAGAAAGGGCGGTCTTTTCTAACCTTGACACAAGAATTGCTCAACCGTACTATCCCCTCGAAAAAGCGATAAAACTATGATATCTTGAAGTACACACCTTTGTACGAGAGGGTGACCCAAAGGGTACGTGACTTGCTAATATTCCACCGAAGGTTAAGCTGTAAGTTGCGAATAATAAAAGAACACCACCAAAGCTATCATTTATAATTACGGGCCAACACAAGGCTTCCAGTTAATATGATATAGCAGTGAGTCTGTTCGATCTTACGTATTTAGGGGACTGAAATTGATTTCCCGATTACATCTGTACAATTTGATTTTAAGCACTCACCAACGGCTGCACAGTGATATTCAGTGCATAATGAAGGCACGTCACCAAAATAGGCAAGCGACACTAACATGCTAATTGCTGCCTCAATATTCTGTCATCCGTGGGCTTAATTAAAAAACTGAATATAAAGACCAACCAGTAAATTGTTTGAATAGAAGACTTGTTGAGTTTTAACTCAGTCCTTTTGCATTGACGGCCTGGGGTGAAGAATGAATTTGAGCTGTATTTATTTTGCCGGTGTGCTATTCACTGAATACAAAGAATTTGGCCACCAGCAATCCCGAGTTCTACTTGTTCTGAAATACAGTGACTTTCCTTAAACGGTGAAAAGTTTAACAGTAAGCGAATCAGTCGTATTCCAGGTTTTGGAAGACGATATTACTTATCGGTCTAGTGTTAAGGTCAAGTGTGTCTCCTGGTATGCTATTTAAAAATGTGAACAGGTAGCCCCGAGCACTACAGGTAGTCCTGTGTCGTGCACCTTTACCCGTATCCTAACAGTAACTTTAACTTTCTCGTGTTTAACACAGGGTCATCTAGCATACGAAGTTACATGTAAAACACTCCTACCCTTTTCTGAAAATCGCGCTTAAGTATATTCCGTATGCACAAAATCTCTCCTGCGGTTCAACTGCCTGCTAACTTTTTCACAATTACGGCTTAGTGCGTTACTCATATACCTCGGTGCTAGGCACTGATTTACACTGTTTGTGTCAAAAGTACGCCTTGTTAGTATGCGAATTATGAAATTTACTGTTTCTACCTTCAGGTAAGAATGTTCTTTTGATCTTTTCATGGTTTCTGAAAGCTTTAGAGTCCACATTTAGGTTGTACTCACTTCAAGCTCTTCAATATCCTCAAAATGCAGTATATTTTCTTTCTGTTGACGTTTCTACACTTTTCCAAATGCCAACAAGGCTAGTGACACCGATAGGCAATGCTAGAATAAGCAATAAATGGATTAATATGTGATTGTTTAGGAAAATAGATTTAATATCGTCACCCGTTTTAATGTATAACTAAGTCCGAAAACTATGTTGTTTTTGCTTCTTAATTGGATAAATAAAAGCAGAAACGTTATCAAACTAAAGCTACTTAGATAATATTTGTAATTCTGCATTCAGGTGTATACCAAATCTGCCTGGTGGACGCATCCTTTGCCAGCACCAATAATCATTCTTCACAAAAAGGAATAATTTATAAGATCGCACCGCTGAAGTTTTCCTTTTTTTATTTCCGTGTAATACCTTTTAATCCTTTTCAATAAGTTACAGTAACACCTGAAAGGGAAGTAAGGTTGTCCGTTTACCTTGCCACACAATCTGCCAAAGAAACTCTTCCTGCTACATTGAACAAACTTTTACTCGTAAATGTTTTGCATTTACCTGAAACATTATCCAAACGTGCTCATACTATCTCGTGGAATTTTAACTTAATTTTATTAGCAATATCTTCACTAGTGTGAGGCTTCATCGGTGCTTGCGTGTTGCATCACCTTCTGCCTTAAGCTATTAAAAACCATTGAGGGAAAGGTCTTTTTCGAGGATTGTCGATATTTTCGGGAAAATAAAAATTAACGCAAGCAATTTCATTCGGACGTTAATCCCTCCTAGGTGGAAATCCTTTACTTCGTTGTAGTCTACCGTTATCTTTTCTCTCAGTTGATAGTTATTTCTAAAACAACGGCACGGTATATTCAATGTGAACGTTTAAATTCGGGCCAGATACCTCATAACTAGCAGGACTATGTCTATTACAAATAGGTCTTGGGATGTGCTGCTGTGGATTTATTTTTCCCTAAGTTAAAACGACTTTTTTGGCCTTTAAGCCCGAATGTATGGGCTTCTTACATATCGCTATCATAATCAACAATGTTTGCTGAACCAGCGGCTGAATGTTTATCCTCTGCGTGAATAAATTACGAACGAATGATACAATGATGGGCGTCTGATGATGAGTACTTTAAAGGCTTTCTTGGTAAATAACGTAAAGGCAGAATCATTCTGTATTTATAAGCATACACACGAACAAGTCCTTATATATATGTATGTATATATATGACAACTTCGAAGGATACCTTGGGCAGCGGCAGGGACTTCAGCAAAAGTTTCCAATCGAAGGGTCTCCTGTTGGTCAGGGAATGAGGATAGGGCGAGGAGATGTTGATTATTGAACCTCCACAGTGAAGGGTGGGGAGAAAGGAGTATAAGTCGATGGGCTGGGCCTGATATCGCTTCGAGAAGTCGCAGTGATTGACTACTTCATGGAGTACCGTCGTGGCTCCTTAGGGACCTTGTTTAGCGGGACGACTGCCATGGGGATGTTAGTGCGATGCAGGACGTAGTCACTTACACTGCCAAACACTGTACGCCGAAGGGCTCCTACACCTCTACTCCCCATGACAATTAAATCCACGTTATTCTCCTTAGCGTAGGAGACTATCTGCTCCCCTGGACGTGTTCCCACGCTCAGAACATAGTTGCCTTGCAGACCGCGTTCTTGGATGCGCAACAGGAACTCGTGTCCCAGCGTCTGTGAGAGCTCAATGTGCTCCGCCAGCATGGAGTTGATCTCACCGGAGAGCACTTGGCCACCGCCAGCAGTTAGTCCAAAGTTATTGGCCGCATAGCTAGGTTCGAGAATGTAGAGCACGTGAATAATGTCATCCGGCTTGTAGATGTTTGCGGCATACCAGTCCAGGGCACGCCTACTATGTTCAGTGAGATTCACTGGAAGCAAGACATTGCGAGCCGTGTTAGAACCGTCCAGGACAGGTTGCATGGTCTTTGTATGATGGTAGCTTTTAGGTCTCTGGACACGTACTCCTTATACGGGCTGAATTAGAAGGCTGTTTGGGAGAAAGAATGGGAAAATAAATATCGCCTGATGCGTGCAGGAACACGGCTGCGACCGCACCGACTGGTTGCGAAGGCGGACCAATCGGTTAGGCGCATTTTGTAGGCGAATGGCGGCGAGATTACGTGTTTAAAGGACAGGGAATAGCGGGAAAAAAGACAGTCTGCACGTCAAATGCTTCAGCTATTTAGAAATTTATTTAGGCAATCGATGCTTCCATTACGGGATATTTCAGATGCCAAACGTGACCTCCTGTATGCATAAATGAAGTCGGGCAAAATCGCCGAAGGGCACAGAGATCTAAACTCGTGATAATGAAAAAGGCAATTTTCCGTTAAACGTCAGCTAATAGGGTCGTTCCCTTTCAGGTCGCATGCCTGCTGGAGGCAGAAGCAGGTTTCTGAAATTTTAACCAATCAGTTAATAGAGCTGTTCGTCTGCTAAAAGGCTCATACATAGGAATTATCTGGTAGAAGTGGATTGTTTTGTCAATTTATGCTATGCGGACTTAATATTAGTCCTTCTTCTGATCATTATTTGCAGTAAACTGTAACCTTTGCTGTTATGCATTGACATTATGTGAACACTGAAAGTGCTGTATGCTTTTATTTCTTTTCTAACTCATCTAACAATTGGATACAGTTGAAAAGCCGCCGCGAAATTTACTCAGTTCAACGAATCCTGCAGCCCATGATTGTTCTAAATTCACATTGATGAAAAATGCAACAAAATTTCGGAAGAAATTGTAGGCTGACCCGGATCTCTTTTTCGGATAATGCGGTCTGCACTAAATTTCTTCAAGATGCTGTCAAATATATACGATCGGTTTGTTCTTTATGAACTATTGGGAAAATTAAAGCAGCTGTCGAAAAGCAGAATTCTGTCTCCGAGTTGCTGTCAAAATCCCTTGAATTTTCCAAATCTTAAGACTATTAATTTATATCCATTTTGGTTTACTTCACATACTCAAATTGAGTCCACTAATTATCCTGTAAAGCAGGAAAAACAGTTCTCTCACTGGGAACTGTGTTTATTTTTTTTAAATTTGGCACTTAGAAATACTCAGAGGTTTTCTCAAAACTTTTAAAATGGTAAAACTTGTAAATAGGCGTCTAAGAAGGCTGCATTAAAGTAGATGTTTCCTAGAATTATACGCGCATAAACTGCCTTCTTGGTTTTTTTAACGGAAATGTAAGAGATGGATGACTAGCAAACAACGTGACTCAGCATACGAGCAGGGGTCCAAGGTAGTGGACAAACGTACTCAGGCGCTTTCTGGTACAGTTTAAGACTAAGTCTTATCTGCCTTTAGCACTTATTTGGCAAGTGCAGTACCTACTGAAATCCATGAAACATCAGTAGTAACCGGGCTTTAAACTGGCACTTTGAAACGCGTTCCTCGGTGCGATTGTAACATGAACAATCTTAACCTGCAATACTATGTTCATGAAACAGAATTTCCACTTCATTCATGTACCCTCCCGAGCTTTCTTTTAACTGGAACCATCAGAGTCATTCGAATTGTTTTTTCCTCCTCTTTTCGAATAGATTTTATATGGAATCAGTAACTTTTCATAGAAGTTATGTCATTCGGATGTTATTTATGGTTTCAAATGTTTTTAGCAAACAGCTGTTTAAAAAAAACATCTGTTTGTAAAATCAAGTTTCGTGAGGAGAGTATGTATCTAATCCGGCACGAATAAATGCCCTATTTGCAGTTGAGGTGAATGCCAGATGTTGATGCGCACAGGAAGTTCTTCAAGATGAGGAGCGCACGACCCAGCTTGATATTCTCTGCCTGCTGGCCATCTGTGATGCGTGTCGCATGTCTGGATATCTGGTGCCAGATGGTCGTTGGGGTTATGCCTAAGAGAATGAAGCCAGGGCTGTATCAATTAGCGGCCACTTCTGTCAGTAAAATTTTTAGAAACTACTAGGCCTAATGCGATTTAGGAGGTTTTAAAACTTTTAACTAATTCCTTTGAAATACTTGGTCTTCTTTCGGCAAATTTCCCAAGCTTACTAGGGAAGTATGCTAGAAGTCCCATTTATTGTATGGTTGACGTAATTGGTAAATTACTGAAAAATCCCCGATTATTTCTAAACCTGTGCCAATGTATCCTGCAAAGGACACCAACGTAATAATCAAAGACCTCCAAATTAATGAAATCGCAAAATAGTTTTTACAAGCACAATTTTGGCGATTCGTAAAAAAGAAATTTTATTACTTACAGGGAAAATATGAACAACGAGAATTGTGTGTTAAATTATGATCTTGAGGGTTTGTGTGGATAAGAAATAATTTGGCGCAAAATTAATAGGATAAACAACATACTTTATACCCTAACGGCATACCACAGCGCAGTTAAAATATTCAAGTAAACATGCGTTTGCTTAGATTATGATCACAATTTGCTTTACCTTATAGGGGACAACCTTCAAAGAAAATGTAATTACATTCGACTCAGCCGATCTTAAGAATCACGCCTAGGATGATTAATTCATTTCACCCAAACCTCGCAAATCAACAAGTTAGGACTTTTAGCTGCAATTCGGATTTCTATAATGGGTTAATGTTTTTACAACGAGTTTTCTGTCTACCAGTGTTACAATGTAATTTAGGTCAATTAGAAAGCAAAGTAAGTCTACTTACTAGCTCTCATGATTTTCGGCACCAATTGCATAGGAGGGCAATGTAGTATAGAAAAAAAACACTTTTTCATAGGCACTGTAATAGTACACATGGAAGCAAAACTGACAAGGCCCTTGGGCATACCAGTTTCCAGCATAAAGTCGTGAAACGTGTGCTGCAAATACTGCTGCATTTAAGGGCTGACGAAAGTTAGATGGTGTTCACAGCACCGCCATCTGACCACTTGCTTTTGTTCTGATGGTTGAGAGAATCCAATCCGCAAGAATCGGTCAGAAGCCCTAATCGTGCGATTAATATAAAAGGAATCACATTGGATTTGATTTCAGGCCTAAGAAACATGTTAATTTTGTCGATATGACCCCTAGAATATCAGCTTCCTGTTCTTCACAAACCCTGTTGACAAGTGAATCCTTTCTGGTATATGCAAATACTTTCGATCATTAAAGTTGCGTCGGTATACGGTAATCGCATACACTATTCCAGACCTTGTCTTATAGATGTCTACAAACAATCTTTATATTGCAGGTGTAGACCTTATGGAAGACATGTTTCCTTAAAACCTTACTAGGACAAATTTAAAAGCAAAACTATCGTTCAAGAAGTCAAGATAGGCGAACGAACGTTTTCGATTAATTCATCATCAGGCGTGAATCAGGTGCACCCAGCATTAACTTTCACTATAGAAAAAGAGGACAGACAGCGCCTCCCCTTTCTGGACGTCCTTCTTAGTAGAAGACCGGATGGAACAATAAG